CGTAATTAGTGTTATTATCAAGTGTATTGTGATTGTGAAGATCTTTAGTAGATCTAGAGATCTAGATCCCATCCCATCATTAAAAAAACCCAATAAATCAACAATACAAATACAAAAACATTGTAAACTTGCCAATTATGACATATTGTTGGCAATAAAAATGTACTAGACTGCTTCACTATATTTCCTCTTCGAAGAAAGTTATTAAAATACCGATGTAAGGTGTCTTCCTACCACTAGCATCAGCGTGCATAGCAACGCGAAGCCTTGCTGTGCGGCGCAGCCAAAGGTGCTCTCAACTGGCCGCCGGCCGCCATGTTTTTGTTTCAATTCCTCACAGCGAATCAGCGATCGTGAAGAGGGAGTTCCGCTTCTATAAGTGTAAAATTATGTGGTGGGAACGCAAAAAATCTATCGTTAGAAAAGTTCTTAAGATATCTTCATAATTTTTGGTATACTGATAGATGAAACATTATTCTAGTGTAATAAGTAGTGAAGTCAAAAAAACATATTGAATAAATGATTTTATTATAAATTTAATCCGTTGTTATGGTCTGAGATTTTCCTGGTTAAAGTATTCCCCTAGTTTGGACCTCGATTCTGAAAAAGTTTTCCTCCTACATAAAAAATGCCAAGTCCATCCACTAAAACAGCCACATAAGGCTGCAAAACCACTTATTGCAATATTTTAGAATCATTTATAACCTTAGGATAGATTTTTTAGAAATGTGTACATTTTCTATATATGACATTGCAATATGGCAGCCGTTACCATAGCAACATAAAAGAATTTTCAAATTTTTTCTTCAAGGCCCAATTCTCCACTCTACTTATATTGATGCTACCATATTTGTAAGCTTAGTTTCTTCTTCTTAACGAATCTGAAAATTTCCCCCGCATCATGCCTTAAAAGAGCGCTGGAACGTTTGTTTACGCTCGTATCACGGGCCGTCACGCGCTAGCACAAGGGCGCGCCTAAGTCTCGCGCAGACGCGAGATAGGGCAATTGAATACACGATCTTTGGTCTGACAACGACTACCACGCTGCCGGTCCTAGTTTTTGCTTTGCCTTCTCTTCTATCAAAACAAGATGGCTCCCTACAGTGTTTACCAGTGATGAAACGTGGCTGTAAGAATGTGAAATAGTACCATATTGACGGCATTCCAAAAATACAGGTATCCAATTTCTTCTTCATTGCGTCACGTGTTTCTGAACAGATTTATATATAATCTAGAAACGTCTCAACCAAATCCATACACTTAAATTTAAACAGTCATCGAATGCCATGGATCGTATCATTGGAGGCATTGTTGGTGTGGAGTTTTCATACTGAGAATCACCTGATGAATCACGATCAGTGTTTGTGGTTGAAAATTCAAATTGTTTTATGGCAGTTCAGCCTTTTTGGTGTTTTAATGTTAAATCACTAGATTCTTACTCATGAGTATGCACGTTGGAATATCAAATTACTCTGAATTCGTAAGTGACTGTAGTCTGTGTAGTTTAGAGTTGAGGCTTCTTGTTTAGGGCCTTTAGTCTAGATCTAGATCTAGATCTAGATCTAGATCTAGATTTCCATTTTCTCTGTCTAAGTGAGTGTTATACAGACCCGGTAACCAGGAACAAAGTCATGAAGTATACAGACTGGGTAGGGGAAATTTGTTGTGATTTCGGAAAGTGGTAAGCCCGGAAAGTTTCAGCGCCCAGACCCAAGGAGAGAGAGAGAAAGAGAGGAGGAGGAGGAGGGGGTAGAATCTAGAGAACAGGAGGAAGTGCTAGATCTAGCAAACATCACGTGACATGCCCCAGTTGACAGAGGGAACGAGAGAAAGATAGAGTAGCAATGCCAATCGCCCGCAGCGCCTTGGGCCGGAAAATGCGCGAGGGGTAAATTTTTTGGTAGCGTCAATTGCCACTGAGTGACGCGGTGGCAATTGACAAAAATTAACTTTTTGTCAATTGCCACCGAGTGAAATGGTGTCAAGTCTGAAAACAACACTATCTTTAGCTTTATACATAGATGCCTAATGGGAGGACTTCCGTAACGAGCGACCACTATGAGACAGAGCAGAATGGAAGAGGCTAGCCGTACTTAATGACGGCTAGACTGGCAGTCTAGCCGTACTTAAGTACGGCTAGACTCGCAGTCTTAAGTACGGCTAGACTGGCAGTCTAGCCGTACTTATTCTTAATATGATGGCTAGACTGACCTATTTACAAAAAATAGGCCTACTGAATTGTAAATATACCTTTTTAGTGTGCAGTACCTAAAGTCTTTGTATTTGAGACGAAACCAGGGGCCTTAATGACAGTGCATGTATTTTAAACCTCCTGTTTTCTAATGTTAATAGGGCCTAAGACTAAGATAAGTACGGCTAGACTGGCAGTCTAGCCGTACTTAAGTACGGGTAGACATCCAGGCTAGCCGTACTTAAGGACGGCTAGACTGTCAGGCTAGCCGTACTTAATATTGATGGCTGAATTGTAAATGAAATTTTTAGTTTGCAATGCCTAAAGTATTTGTATTTCAGACAAAACCAAAAGGTGCCTTACTGACTTGCATGTATTTGAACCTGAATAATTACTAGATCTAGATCTAATGAGACCTGTGTACTTAACAGGCTTGAGTCGATTGGGCCAAACCTAGATCTAAGTACGGCTAGACTGGCAGTCTAGCCGTACTTAAGTACGGCTAGACTCTCAGTCTAGCCGTACTTAAGTACGGCTAGCCACTTCGGAGCAGAATTGAGGGGTAGGGGTACGGGTAAGGTTTGGGTTAGTAGTAGGGTTAGGGTTAGGTCTAGGCCTCTTCTTTATTGTGTTTGATGGGGTAGTCGCTCGTTACGGAAGTCCTTCCGGCCTAATGTGTGTCTAATGGGTTGATTTGTTCTCAACTAATTTCATTGGACAAGCATCTAGTCTAGATCTACGGTACCAACTTGGCGTTTTTTCAATGAGACGTAGATCTAGGCCTAGATCTAGATCTAGATCTCTAGGATAGCCTTAGCCTACACTTTGGTGTAGAACCAACACAGGCAATTCTAGAAGTAGAAGGTCACAAACGCACACAAACTCAAGCAGAAATTCACATATTTGGGAACATAAATCGGGGGACGGGGGTTAGGAAAAGACACACACACACACACAGAGGGACAGAGAGGCGAACGCACAACACCGAGCACTCGAGCACAATAAGCTAGATCTACCCACCACAACGCAAAAGAGCTCCAATTTACTCGGTGGCAATTGACAAAAAGTCAATTTTTGCAATTGCCACCGCGTCACTCGGTGGCAATTGACACTACCAAATTTTTCTTACGACCACCATTTCGCTCTGTCTGTTGCCGTTTCAAACTGGTGCTACGATTTCCTTTTTTTCACTTATCACATTAGAAAAACATACTTCTTGGGTGTTCTAGCCATTTTTTGAGAAAATCTAGCATAATAGGCCGTTTTAAACAAAAATTGTCCGTCTCGTGAACATCGGGAAACGCCTTAAGTCTAAATCCTGACGTCCGTAACACTGTTGCGCAAAATATCGAACAAAATAAACAAGGCCACCTCTATTCTCACCCGGAGTGAGAATAGTGCAGGCGAGTCTTGTGGCTATTCTCACCCGGTGCGCGTTCACCCTAAACCATAGAATTCTACACTGTGAGGAAAAATTGTAGAATTCTGTGCCATGAACAAACGTTCCATTACAACTGTAGCCTACTAAAAGCGTACAATTTTGTCTGTGGGCAGTGGAGAGAGATAGAGAAAGAGAGAGAGGAGTAGCGAGAGAATTTCCGGGCAAAACAAAATGGCGACCCGCGTAGTTCGGCTCGATTCGAAAAGTTAAATAGCCGTAGCATCTTTGTAGACAACCAAATTAATTTACTTTTGTGTTTTAACATCCATTTTTTAACTTTGTTTTGGTCAATTTGATCGTCTACACCGATAGACAGTATTCAGAAAGAGACAGAGAGAGAAAGAAGAGGGGAGGAGTTGATCTTGCGAGAACTTCCGGGCGGGTGAGAATAGCCACTTTCATAAACAAAGTCAACACTTGTTTTTTATTCACATATTTATTGGGCCCATAAACAATCAAAACAACACTAATTGAACACAAAACAGTACAACAGGAGAATTTTATTTAAAAAACAAATCCTGTGTTGTCTTTCACACCCTTACCGTGAAATCCGCCTAATCTAGATCTAGAATCACATGAAAGCTACACAGTGAGCACCTGGCACACCTCTGTGATTGGCCAAAATATAGGCCTAGATGACCTATTCCGCCATCCATTTGTGTGTCGTCTTCCGGGGCTTCCCTCGCCAGTTGACTAGATCTCACCTTGGCGGGCCCGCTTTGCTGCGCAAAAAATGTAAATTTGCAGTTTCCAAGGACAAGTCACAATTAAGCTTTGTAAATTGACTTTGAAGTAACAGCCTTCGGTGGCCATTTTATTTCTCAAAAGTTAATTTTACCGCCACCTTCTTCAATTGCAAAAATATCTCGGATTTCTATTTCAAGAGAGAAGGGTATTTCTTTAATAATAAGCAAAGCAAATGAACAGGCTTGAAGGTATCAATGGCTATCAAAAAAATTATTTTTCTTTTTTAAATTTTATTTTCTGTGAATGAGTTCAAAATGTCATTTGTCCACCTAGTATACTCTTGTTCTCTTAATTTTAAAAAATAAGTTGCTCTTTAAACTAAACATATGACCCTTGCTTCTTTTACTTTCTCTCTTTCTTTGATTTTTTGTGCTTTGTTCAATCTTTGGTGGCATGGCAGGGCATTTTATCCAGTGACATGGCAAGGTATAGATGACATTGTGTTATGAAGTCGTGATGTTTGAGACTTTTATATAAATATAAAATGTAGTTATTTTAAAAAATATATTATGTATATATATATATATTTGACTTTGTTTGAACCAGTAATTTTATCATTTAACTTACCATTCTCTTTTCCGTAGAGAATTCCAATGGATGAGATGGCTCTTCAGGGCCTGGCCTCTTTGGCTATGGCCCCTGATGCAGAATCCCAAAACAAGGTAAAGTAAATGGAAAAGCATCTTCTCGTGATAGCCCTTAAACTTTGCTGTTAAGTGGTAATTTAAAATTGGTTAGGCTTCATGACTTTGATCTTCGCTGACTTTGTCACCATTGATTTTCTCTTTTGATTTAGTTTTACACTTGTTTGTCAATCAATATTAGGTTGAGTCGTTTGCCCCTTTATTTTTATTTAATTTGTTTGTTTAGTTTAGTTTGTAAGTTTGTGCAGACAAAAAACCCTAATTGAAATGGATATATTGTATATATTGGTTGATCAGGTGCTATTTTAAGAAACTTTGTTTCCTTTTGTCACAAGTGCACTCTCTTTTTTGTCCCTCTTTGCACTTACTCATTTCCTTCTTCTTTTGAGCTTCACATGTAAATGAATGGTAATGATAATTGTATCCAAAATGAAAGTGATTCTTGTGATCTTAAGGTGTACTGGATTAAAAATTTTGAATTCTCAAAATTGAGTTCAATCATTGTATTTCTAATGTTGTATGCATACTCTACTAAATTATTTATATATTTTTTTGTTTAAATATACAACAGGCTGTTCAGTTTGTAGAGCAACTTAAACAGTCGACGGATGGTTGGAAAATTTGTGCTCAAGCCTTTACAAGTGGACTATATCACCAGTAAGTGGTCACCTTCAAACTCATTTTTGTGGATTTTGCAGTTTTTTCTTACTTCATTTTGCCTTAAAAAGCCCCCTTGTGGAGCTCAGGCCACCTTCTCCTGTCATCGTGGTCTCGGTTGAAGCTTACTTCATTGAAGTGTAGTTTTTGTGTCTATTCAACAGATTGATGTAGTTAACTCCTTGCCACATTGGCCCCTATAGCTTTTTGAGAGAGTATGGCAGAGTTAGACCTGTAGTTTTCAAAGACCTGTCACTTTTTATTTTAGAAATAAGTTCTCTGACCACATCAGCATTTTTGACGTGAAAATTAAGAATACAGTCTTACAGTTAGTTGTATTTCTTCTACTTTCGGGTGTAATAGGAAAGGTATAAGAAAAGTCTTCACAAGTAACTTGTCTCATATTTTCCTTCCTGTCTTTCTTTTTTTCAGGAATGACCACGTGAAGTTCTTCTGCCTGCAAGTGTGTGAATATGTCCTGAAGACAAGGTATGCCACTGCTATAGTTTAATCATTTGAAGTTTGAAATTTATAAACACTTCAGATGAGGCAATATGATATGGTAGTTCCTTTCCATTTCTTAAAAAAAAATTTTTTAAAAATATTCTTACTTGTAATTGAACTCTTTAAACCCCATCAGGCGCATGGAGTTCCGGGCGGTAATAACCCTGTTCCCCATTGGACGGTGGGAGCATCCGATACTAGTGACAACTGTTTCATTTTATTGAGTGCTAGTTTTTCCTTGTTTTTTCGGAACTATTCCCAAACCAAGTTTTTTAAGTAAAGAATAAGCCTTTGTTTCCACCATTTGGAATTTGGAGGCAAGCTTTTGGGGTTATAATGAGAAATAGTGCACCAGGTTTAGGTGACCTGAAAAAATTAAAGAATCCAGACGTAGTTCTTGTTGATTTCTTTTCCATCGAATAATGGGGTGAGTGTTTTAAAACGTTATTAAATCTTGAAAGTTTTGCAAGTGGTACCAGAAATTCAAGATTTGGCAACCAAGATAGCAAATGGTTTTCAAATTATTCTCAGTAATTATTTCTGAACTTTGCCATCTTAATATTTAGAAAGTGGGCACTTCATGGAAGTCTGTCGTGATAGTGAAAAAGTTGTCTGGCTGTTGTTTATTTTCGCAATAATTGTACTGTGGCTTTCCAAAAATGTAAGATTTTGGAATATCATATGTCTTTTTTTTTCCCTTCAGATATGTGCAGGCAAGTTCAGAGGATAAGACGTCGATGAAAGGATTCATCATGGCTTGTTTGGATATGGAGGTAACTTTATTAACTATTTTTTCTTTAAATACATGTTTTAATTACTGCTCTATTTTTTTGTAATGTTTTGTTGGTTTGGGGTAGTTTTCTGGAAAATGTATATGCTATTACCTTATGTATTTCATGGTGAGCTTTTGTATACAGTCGAACCTGTGTAAGACGGCCACCCATTGTCAAGGAGAAAAGTGGCCGTCTTAGGCAGGACTAATTGAGATGAAGAAAACAAACCATTCCTGTCTGAGGTCCCAACCGAAGATAGCCTTGTTGTTGTTGTTGTTTTCACTGGGGTTTTTACTTCTTTTTTTTTCTTTTGTGCTATGGTAAAACAAACACACGGGTCGCCACCACTCGGAGAACGAGTGGCGCTTCTGTCACAAGTTCATGTTGACGTCCATTGTTACTTTGTTACAGACTGGGTAAACAGTGACCACTCATCTCACTTACGACTTGTGTATGAGTTGTGGGCGGGGCTTATGGCTATTGGTTATGAGGGATCACACGCCCTACCTCACCTGCAGCTGAAAATTTGTTACCGAGTACCTATTGGTCAACAGTGGGAGGGGCCTACGCAACATGACCGGTTGGAGGGACTATCTTACAACTACGCCAGGGACCAATGCACAATTTAGGACAAAACGTAATGGAGTCACTAAGGTGGCCGTCTAGGACAGGTGTTATTGCTTAGTGTGATAGGGGTTGTGTGTTAAAATAAGGTGGCCGCGGCCACGTTGGACAGGTGCCCGTTTTACACATTTAAATTAAATAGAAAAAGCGCAGGGGGGGGAATGGGAGTGGCCTTTTGTACAGGTGGCCGTCAGGGCAGGTTTGACTGTATATCGTTAGCATCATTCTACAAGCGTCTTAATCATTTTTTAAAGTTCTGAGACAGAAAAATATAGTGCCTAGATCAGAACCAAGACTTGGGCACTCACTATTTTTCAGTTTCAAACTGGGATTGAAATAAAACAGAACTGGACAATAAAGATGTATATGTGGGTGGTTGGCGGGTGCTCTGTTGTGGTTTATTTCTTCTTTCCTATCACACATCTATCGTCCTTATCTCCCCTTCTTCTTTTTTTATGTTTGTTACTCTCTTGTAACACCTATTATCTTCTGGCACACATATGACCTTATGCAGTTGTGAGCGCCGTAAAACCTCTACTGAAACTAATAAAGAACTGGTCACCAGTTGATTTTGGCTGTAGTTGATTGTGACGCTGATATTATGTTATATGTATATGTTGTTTATAGTGTTTGGTAATGGAATTACACTAACATTTTACCATGACTTTTCAGGCGAATGCAAGCTCTCAAAGCAAGCCGTTCTTGAGAAACAAACTAGCCCAGGTTGTCTCTCTTGCCTTTGTGGTAGACTACCCGCAGCACTGGCCCAACTTCTTCAACGACACGCTGGTGACCTTGACCCATGGCCCCCTGGCCGTTGACATGTATCTACGCGTGCTCATGGCTATTGACGGGGAGGTTGTTGATCGAGATATTGCTCATACCGCAGAGGTAGGTTTCCCTCAATTCAAGTTTTGTTGATCATAACTGTTCTAGTGTCATCTTGGGTCTTCTTCTATTTCACATGTTTCATTCTTCATCTTTTCCTTTTTTCCCCCTTATTTTTCTTATTCTCCTTCGTCTTGTTCTTCTACTTCTTCAAGTGCAAATCTGAAACAAATTTCAGCAATCATGGTTCACCACTCATTTCTTTTCAGGAATGATTTTAAAGACCTGTGATATAGTATTATCCTTGTCTTTTCCTTTCACCAATCTGTTCCAGTTCTGTGGGTAATTTATTCTTGGTCTACCCGTACCTCTTTACCTACTTTTTCTTTTTCCACAGTGTCATAAAGCTGTTTATCCTGGTGTTACGGTTAAGCTCTTCATTCTGACAGGCGTTTCTGATAACACATTCTCAAGGGGGACACATGTTATAGGGGGATGGGGGGTGTTAGTTGATGCCTGAGACACTACAGCATTGTTTTTCCTGTTACTGTCCTCAGGAGAGTCAAAGGAACACCCTCATCAAGGACGCTATGAGAGAACAAAGCGTGAACCAACTGTCGGACATGTGGTTCCAGGTCATGGTAAGACTTTGTTTGATACTGACTGTTGACTCAATTGTGGTTTTATGTATGTGTGGTGACTTATTGGTGCTGTGGTTAAACATTTGGTTTTTGTGTGGGGGTGTCCACATTCTGGAAGGATTTTGAAGGTTTTAACTACTTTTTTCTCATTCATGGTGATCTGTAAGGTTGTGATTGATGATATGTTTGTAACAAATCCCTGAAAGTTTGGTTTGGTGTTGCTTTTGTTTACCAAATGATTCAGTTTAGAATTGATTTCATTTTTCAAGTCATACCATGTCTCTACATGAAAGTAGATTTGGGGCAAAAAAGCCTTGGAATCGTTGAATGTTTGTCTCCCCTTGACATCATCAAAGGTGGATAGGAAAAGTGTAGTCTTCTCAATCTGTTGTCCATAAGACATTTTAATTTATATTTCTTTGCTCTTTGTGTGTCTTGATATTGTGCTTTCACTCACTGTAAGATTGTAATTTGTATCCGATTTTGTCAGCCTACATGTATTTTGCTGGTCCACCCAACTGTAATTTGTTTCAGCCTGTTAACCTAACTGTATTTTGTGTTCGGTGATGTAGATTGTATTTAGTTTCTCCTGCTTTCAATTAACCTGCCTGTATTTTGCCACAGACAACCTACGAGTCATCCCAGCCAGACATCGTGAGCATGTGTCTGGAGATTGTGGGCAGATACGTGTCCTGGATGGACATCGGGTTTTTCGCCAACGACCGGATGGTGACACTACTGCTCAGGTTTTTAACCCTTCAGAGTCTGAGGGAGTCGGCGTGCGACTGCGTTCATGAGATAATCAGCAAAGGCATGGAGCCCGTGGGCAAGACTTCACTCATCGAGTCTTTTGTCAGTGTCCTTGATAATGCTGGGATCTTCAAGGTTGATGTAAGTGATTCAGTGTACTTTTCATTTCTGCACAGTGTAGAATTTGTTTCTGCCTTCTTGGGCCGCAAACACCTTTGTTTGTCTCTGCATTTTAGTTTACATTGTTGTCGAATTTTACTGGTATTTAATAGTTTGGATGTCTTTTAAGTTTTGTGTAATAAGCAAGTTTTTAAGATATATGCATACCTGCCAACCCTACAGAAAAAATTGGTAGATCACCGACTTTTTGGTCAAACTACCGATCCACTGATTCTAAGAGATAAGCCACTGACTTCGCGATTCAGCAGGGTGACTGCCAGGCCCCGAGAATTACAAAGGAATTTGAGAAAGTTATTGAGTATTTGAAAACCAAATCCGATAACGCCCTTAAGTTCATTTTTGCCTATCGCGACTGTGATATTCCCCGAGAGTACGTTTCTTCACGCGGACAAGCGGCTATGGTGGCAAGTGGAAGTGTATGTGTGATACCGACGTTTGATCGAGATAATCGAGATATACTTTGACTTTTGTTACCACCCAAAAATTTGTTCGTAGTAGTTTGATAACGCAACATTAATTGTAACAACATGCAGGTTGTGCATGGCGAACGCTGTGTCGCCATGAAAATAAATCAATATTTGCTCTGTGGTCTCACTTGTGAAAAAGGAAAGAAAAGAAAGTTAGTTATACTAATGTCTTGTCGGGCTCGCCATTGTGACCGGTCTATGAACCTGTGCGTTCCATCACATTGTGAGCACCGGCAATTGTAGGGGTCACCAAAGTTCATTCAAAGTCTGAGCGCTGCGAAGTATAGGACTCCGGAATGGGTGGATTATTGATTTTTTTAAAAGATACACTCGGGGGAGAAGGGGGGGGGGGGGTTTGAAGGCAACACTAGGGGACAAAAACTGAACTTGGAAGCAAATTTTAGTATTCTAAATTTTGATTACTACAAGATCTAGAACTTCCTGCAAAACGCGTGTTGGTGCAGGTCTTGTGTGGACTCGGGATCCATCATACTCTTACCTTGTAAACTCTTCAAAGGCATAGGGCCATGGCTAGGCCTAAGTCATCCAAGGCCCACCTTTTCTTCATCTTTTCTTCTTTGCTTCTGTTTGGTTTTTTGGGGGGGGGTTGGTTTCATTTGTGGGGGGGGTGGTGGTGGTTTTTTGGTTTCATTTGTGTGTGCGTGCACGTATGAATAGGACGGGAACGGCACCAACTACTATAGGGTAAATGCCTCTGGTAGTTTTCATATTTGCCTATATTTTTTTTTTTTGGTGGTCATTTTCTACATTTTGTTTGAATGTTTGAAGTCGCAAACACATTCATGCATATTTGATGTGGGTCAAAATATTGATAAGGGTCCCAAATTAAGTATGCGACAAGTGGTAATGTAGCCTAACCACAGATTTTTTAGGTCAACTACAGATTTTTGGACAAATATTTGCGTTAACTACAGATTTTGGCCTAGGCAATGTTGGCAGGTATGTATATGAATGTTTAAATGACCATCTTCATGTGAAAATATATTATTACTGCATTTTCCTACAACTCTTTGTGTTTTTGAAATATGTGAATTGTACTCGTGGAAGGTTTAACGTTCTCCATTTGCTCTTGCTAAATAAGATGCCAGCCCCCCATGATGTCATTATTGTGAGTAGTTTTGACTTATTTTGTCTTTTTATTTATTTTCTTACAGGATGGGGATGTGGACTTTCTGTGTAAACTGGCCAAACTTATCAATGGCATGGGACTGGGATTGATTTCCAGCTGGCAGAAGTAAGTATGATTTACTTTGTGAAATGTTTGTAGTTACTAATAAAGTCACTCATATCATGACTGATCTTTATTGTTGGGAAAAGATTTGAAAGAATCTGTCATTCAAATTTAAGCAGATGTGTATATGCAGAGGGAATTTCTCTGTCTAAGCAGTTTGTTGTGCGACATGTAGTCATCTGCCAAGTAGAAGCCAGTGGTAAATAATATTCTTAAAAATTGAAATGAGGTGTGTGGGTAATGTGTTGTTTTGATTAGTACAGTCACACTTTTTTTTACTTGATCATTTAAGGGGCTGCATTATCACAGAAAAGGTTTGTGTGCTATTTTTTCATCTAATTCCCTACGTATTTACGAAGTCTCATTGTATGAATGTCAGATTGTCCAAAATGGGAACCACCAAGAACTCAGAGACCACCCGGTCTGCCCTGGAGTCCAAGGTCCCCTACATGTTACGTTTCCTCGGAGATGAGGATGACGACGTCTCGGCAGCGGTCCTTGAGTTTGCCACCGAGTATATTGCTATGATCAAAACGATGCCATCTATGAGTACAGTCCAGAAGAAACACATTGAGGTACAACTTAAGCAGAATGTCTTTGACTTAGTTTCTACTTCAGTACTTGCTGCTATTGCATAAGTCATTGATAAGATTCTGATTTCTGATCTTTTAAAAATATAAGAAAAGAAAAAGGTCATAAATGACAAATAATCAATGTCTTATTTTACACTCGAAACAATGGAAACTGTTCTTAGCAAATGTTTTTGCATGAAGTATTGTGTATTTAACGGTGAGAAGAATTGGTCTTATTGGCCTTAACTCACTTCAGACGGTTCACACAACAGTTGCGTGACCCCCGCCGTGACGCTCGTGACGGTTCCCACAAGCCCTGCATGATCAACTTTGGAATGTTTTTGTTTTTTTCGCTCTATAAATCATGCACGAATCACGTGACCCGCCTCGTGCCCTTGTTTGGCCAGGCATGAGCTACTAAGACTTAGTTTCGTATCTCTGGGGCCTGTAGTTTTTAAGTTATTGAAAGTGAAGGACAGTGACCCCATCTGGGGTTGAACAGACTGGAACTCGCGCTATGTTTTTTTCTATACAGCTGATAGTAATCCGACAGTCGCGCCATAGTAACAGTCGAAGAAGTCGCATGAACAAGATTCACATAATTTCGTGGTTTTCGATACTTCTGTTCGTATTACTAGTTCTAGTGACTCAGAAAATGATGTGTCTCATAGTTAGGAACCTGGATATGTACCCGAACACGGCCCGAGTCGTAGTTTTAGGACTAGATCTAGCACTAGTACTCGTGGTGTTGTTCGCTCAACGAAATCACAACGTCGTCCCCTACATCTGTCTTATGCAATTCTGTGTATGGGTCTGAATCAATGCACAGACCAGCTTTTATATTTTGACAAAACAATCACACATGCATACAAATGAAAACAGAACACTTTGAACTTTTATTTTTGTTGTTGTGAATTTCATTCTACCTGTCACATCTGGAAAATTTTCTGAAAATCAATTTCATGCCAATTTTTAAAAAAATCATACAAATTAAAGTGTTAGACTTACACTACTTAAGTTTTTTGTTTTTGATTAAGCTTGAATGTTACTTTACTGTGTCAAAAAATAATTACCATAAGGTAATTCTGAGAGTTTTGGCGATTTATTGAAGTACTCCCAAAAACGCCAGTCTTCAGCACTTGTGACTCGTGAAAGGGCCCAGTTGTAAGTGAGTTCACACCATTATTAGTTAATCTGAAATGGTTGATTAAAAAAAAAAATTTGGGGCGTCAAGCCGTAGGTTTAATCATGTCGACAATTAAATAGTGTTTGGTGTTTTTATTCTTACAGGGACTGCTTGTCACTATCATCAAGAAGTTGAAGTACGATACAGACTATAACTTTGATCGTGAGGTACGTCTTGGCATCAGCGTTATGTTCAGTACTCACTTTTTTGCATGGAAACACAGCCAGCCTTTTCTGACACCCAGAATGTATTCATTTATAACCTGCTAATGAGTTCTTCAGTTGTCACAAGATTTTGCATTTGCTGAATTTGGTTGTGTAGAATGCATTAAGAATGATCAAGAATGATCTTTTCTGTTGTCCGTAGGAGGCAACACTAATGTATTCATAAGGGTTACATAGCCCCTTATTATTTTCTACAAAAGCAGCACATGTGGACTTTTTGAATGTTCTAACGTTTTGTTTTCTACCCTGAATTATTTGTCAGGGAAAGCTAGGTCTTTTATGCTTGCATGCCAACAGTTTTTAAAAAACGGTTTTTGCAGCATATCAGGGTTCAGGAGCTTTACTGTGATTTTCTTCATTGTTTAAGCACTGTGCAATTAACTGTGCGCAAATTTCCTTGTGATTCAATTTAAAAAATAAAAACTTGAAAATCATGTTTTATGATAGCTATGCGCATGTGCCTAACTCTTTTTCAACTGTTTCAGGGTGAGGATGAGGCAGATTTCCAAGAGTACAGAAAACAAGCCAGAGTGATTTTCAACAACATTGCCGGCTTGGTGAGTGGGCTTTTTATTAGTTTTTCTATTTAGGGAGTTTTTATTAATTGCTGTCATAATTTTGTTTTGCTCGTCTGTAGCTTCGGAAGGAAAGGGAAAGTAGTTTTGATTTATCTGCTAATGTTACTTTCTCCATTTTTTTGTTTGTTCATTCCTGTCTATGATAACAGATGGTTTTGCATTGTCATAAATAACTGCATAATCTGGCTCATGGTTCTGAAATACTCCTTATAGACTTGCTTTTGTGAGTAGTCAGTTCCTTGGACCAGATTATACTTCATATAGTGGGTCAAATGAGATGAGATGTGTTATCTACATAGTTGTCTCATCTCAGCCGTATTCTCGTAATTTCCAGGACAGTCAGATGATCTTGGTGCACGTCCACGAGCTGGTCTCTCAGACTCTTCCACAGTGGAAGTCGCTGGACTTCAGGGATGTTGAGGTGGCCGTGACCTTGTTGTACAGTCTGGGCGAGGCTATTCCGGTAAGTGGAAGTTTTTTTTCTTAAGTTGGAAAGTAGTAGGTGCATTTTCAGGTAATCTTTTTTGTCCCCTGTGTTATCGGTATCAAGCCTTGTCTTTGATAAAATACTAGTAGATGTGTAAGTACCTTATGAAGAAAGTAAATCATCTCAATGTGCTTCGTTTTGATTAGAAATTAAATGCATGAACACTCGAGTGTGAGGTCAAAAGGCTTTGTGCTAATCTTAGTTCAAAGGTTAAACAAAACCAAGACTGTTTTGGCACCAAGAGCTGAAAGCATAAATAATGAGAGCGGTAAAGGTCATGGGGGTAGGACTCTTTCAGTTGTTAAGTCTGTTAACTTTTCTTCCACAGGCCTCTCATGGACAACATTTCAGCGGGAACCTGGAGAAGGCGTCGGCCCTGCAGAGTATGATGAGAACTGTAAGTATAGACTAGACTGTATGTTATTGTTGATGGTTTTTAGTCAGTGCTTGCCAAACTGTCTTTAATACTGATTCTCTGCATGATTTCTAGATGTTGTAGTCTCATTGTTTTCTTCCCCTAATTTTAAGACGTTGAATTTCTATCTGCTATATGCTCATTGTTTCTCTTTCATCTGAAAAGTATTTAGATGCTGTAATCTCATTGTTTCATTTCTAGATGCTGTAATTTCATTATTAATTTATTTTTTCATGTTATAATCTCATTGTTTCTTTCCCCTGTCACAGCTGATCACTAGCCAGGTGAGCCGGCACGGCCATGTTGCTGTCCTCCTTCAGTTCTTCGAGACTGTCGTCCGGTATGATCGGTTCTTTGCTTGTGAACCACAGCATATCCCAGAGGTCTTGGTGAGTACTCCCTGAATTGACACTTGGCTGGTCTTTCTTTCTCTCTCTCATTACATTACACGAGTTAGGAACTTTAATTTGAAACTGAACAAGATTTGTGTTGTATATTTTTGTTTGAGTGGATAAATTTTGTTAGGGCTGTTGTGTGTTTAGTAAGAGTTTTACGGCGCTCGCAACTGCATACGGTTATATGAGCGCTCTGTTGTGTGTTTTGTATTTTAGCATTATATGAGTTTCTAAGTGTGTATTAAAGTCATGGACAGTCGACCACTCAGTAGCCTTCTCTGAGCTGTCTTTTTGGACTTTTTGAAATTTGAACATCTTAGTGACTTCGTTGAAAAAAAAAATGATTATGCTTCATTTGTGAGGAGGATGAAGTGTTGCTTTACACTGGACTCTTGATATCCTTTTTTTTGGTCATTACTCTGTACAAAGGGGTATAGAGATTATATTATTGGACTTTTTAAAGACATTTTGTGTTAGAGGGAGACTTTCATGTTTGAGTTAGTTTGGCAATTATCCTCATTTCATTTTGTGTGTGTGTTGAAATCCTTTGCCATATTGACAGACCGAAGGGCTAGAACCCAAATGGCCTCTGGATCGGAAAAGTAAAGTAAAATAAGTGTGTGTGTTGAAGCTATTCCTTCTAGCACGTTATTTTTTTTTTCTCAGATGGCCTTTTTGGATGAGAGGGGTTTGCGGAATGGTTCGCCAAAAGTGCGCAGCAGAGTTGCCTACCTTTTTCTTCGCTTTGTAAAAAGCACAAAGTAAGTGTGAGAGTTATGCATTACTTAAGTTACTGTTGTCTTTCCCTGTTTCACCTATATTACTGTAAAATTGCCTTTTCTTTGATTCTTATTCTGAGCCTTTGGAATTACAGGAAACCTTCATGCATGGCCTTAGACTTTCTCTTTCAGGTGGTGGTTTTTTTCTCAGGGGCTTCTTCACAGTTGTGGAGGGTTCTGTTGACCTGTTCTTGTCTGTAGCTTTGGCAGCGTCTCTCACTCTCCTCACTTGCAACTACTTCTGGGTCTGTGGTTGCTACGGTAATGTTAAACATGGTGTAAGTAATGTCGACACTTGCCATTTGGTGACAATTTCATTCATATTCACAAATATTTATACTTATGAGATTTTTGTTTTGGACTAATTATAGCTTTTAAATTTAATACTTTTTATGGTACACTAATGTTTTATCATTTTTGTTTTTGTCACAAATATTCAAGTGAACTTTTCTTACATATTTTATAAAGTTTTTGTGCATGCAAATCGTTTGATATTTTGTATAATCAGTGTTGAATTGTTGCAAAATGTTGGGTTTTTTTTGTGAAGAATAAATATTTTCTTTAAAGTTATCTTATTTTTCACTTGTGATGAGTTTTGTTGAAATGGTGCGCCATTTTCATAACTTTTTAATCATAAAACATATAAATCTTCATTGTTTCGCAAAGCTGTTTGATGATTCATTCTATTGAATATTACTGAAGCAAACTGTGCATGCCTCTAACCTGTACATGATTTCTCTTTCGCAGTCTGTCTGTTACTACAGCAAAATTTTGCGCCTGCCTCTAATCATTATGCCTTTCATAGTGTGTATGTTTCTACGACAAATTTGCGCACGTGTCTAATGGCTGTGATTTCCCCTTCACAGTCTTTCTGTGTTTTTCAGGTCCCACCTGACCCCATATCTGGAGGAGGTACTTAAGCAGATGCAGGACCTGCTGACCATCAATTCCCCGGACAACGGGCTGACTCACTCACTCTCTGATGGTGACCAGCTCTTTATCTACGAGACGGCCAGCACCTTGGTGGTTTCCAGCGCTCTAGAGCCAGAGGTTCGTGTGTTTACCTTTTCTCTCTTTGTGGAGTGTCTGTTTATTGTTCTCTGTTCCAAGCTATTTCTTTTATACAGAACCTTTTCGGGTGCCTCTTTTCCAGAAATGTGAAATTTTTTAGATGTGCAGCATGAATGGTTTTGTCTCTTTGAAAAGTTTTTTTCCACTTCAAGTGATAGTATGCCTAACTTAGAGAAACAAGATCTCACTCAGTGTATTCTGCCTGATAAATAGCTCGTGTATTGACAAAATGATAATCGTGCCAAATGAGCACCTTGAATGTAGTCTTATGCCAGCTGAGTGAATGAGCGCCTAGAAGTTGTGTAATATATTTTACTAACCAAACATGGTGAACACGGTTTCCTTTTCGAAAGATGACTTTTTGTCATTACCATACCTTTGTTCGTTTGTTTTTCTTGGCCTAATGGTTTGTAGTAAAAGAGCTCACATTGATAATCATATATTATCATATAATTTGTCATAACATCAAAATATTTAATTTTCACACCATTCTGACATTATAATGTTGATATTCATACTCAAACTCCTTTCTCTCCCCTGATCTGCTGTTGTTACAGAAAAAGGAAGTGCTGATGAAACAATTACTGACTCCGATCGCCTCAAAGTTTGACGCCATGTTGAACCGGCTGCGCCAGGAGACAGATGAAAAGCGCCAACAAGCGTATGCAGAGTGCATCCACAATGCCATGTCGCTTGCCAGTCGGGCCAGCAAAGGTTTCTCAGGCCAGCTGACCATGAAGCAGTGCGGCTGCGTCTCGGCTTTCACTGAGCTGCTGTCTATCTTCCTGGCCGCCCTGGAGGTGTCCAATCAGAGAGGTTCTCTGCAGTCAGGAGTCCGACAGTACTTGCATCGTATGGTGGGTGTTTCTCTTTTTCTTGTTTGGGTTGTTTTTAGGGGGGAAGGGGGGGGGGGGTTGTTTGTTTGCTTTTTTGCCTTCTCCATTTATACAGTTGGTGTGATGTATGTGTGTGGATTATTTTGTGTGGATGTGAATCCTCAATATCTGGACTCATTCATATTGTTTTTCAAGCCTTAAAGTTGACTTGCTTTAAGTAAGTGCTTCTTTTTATGTTTTCTGAAAAAAGCAGAAGCTTACATAGGCAGAGTGTGAGAATTTCTTTGTGTTTTCACAGGTTGTGTGCCTTGGACCTGAGATTTTGCCATTTCTCCCTGAAGCGATGGAGAGGTTGTTGAAACAGCCTGATGCCCGAGAACTCTATGATTTCCTCCCTCTGGTCAACCAAATTATTATGAAATTCAGGGTAAGAATCAAGTCTCAGCTTTTTTAAAATTTGCTTATTTTACTTTTTAAAATTCATAGTGTTTATGTGTTAATATTTTCCATACATAGTGGTCTCTAATAAAATGATGAAACATGAAAACTACTGAAAAAAACTGGTATGGTCACATTTGATTAAGTTATACCTTGTAGAGGTTTCGTGATACTTCATAATATTTTAAAAGAATAAGCGCACCAGGGTCCATATTAAAATGAACTAAGACTTTTTCAAACCCCCAAAAGGCTGGGTTTTTTCCTTCCTTGTAGTCTTCCTATGCTTCAAACAAGGAGGTCCCCCGGTGCCACTGACTGAAGTGTCATTAGACCATTCCCAAATGGGGGACATTTCTCGTTCATGCACAGTAAAATTGTAAATGGGCTGATTCATCAATGTCGCGCTCGTAACTGTGCCTGATCTATAACAAGGGACTGCTGCTTTTTCTTTCCTAATCCATACTATTGTCATTTTACTCTACTTCTTTTGTATGTTTGTCACACTCTTGTCACCTACTATTTCCAGGGTGCCTTGATAGTCGAAACAGACTTTGTGCTGTTGAAGCTAGAGAGGTGAGCAGAGTAAGTCTAATTCCCTGTAAGGACATCTCTGTTGACTTCCACCCCTTGGTGCTCATATGACCTTATGCAGTTCTGAGTGCTGTAAATCCTCTACTAAAACTAAACTAAAACAAGGAGGTGTAACAATAGTCAGGTACAAAGGCTGTTCTTTGTTTTATGTTCTTTTTAGAACCTCAAATTTTCCTGAAAAGTCTGAAGTCACCTGCAAAAATCTTGCACAAAAAAAACAACTTTAGGTATGTGTGTCATTGTCTTGTCTCTCCATCAATGTTAACTCTTTTTCCAGTAGAAGGTGGTTAGAAGACGCCACTGGAAGGGCCTACTTCTTTTGTGCCCCTCTTTTGTTTCTATCTGTTAGTCTCGCCTTTTCCCTACACTGAATGACTGGTAGTGGGTGGTTGGCAGGTGTTCTGGTGTGGTTTACCCCCTTTCTATCAAACATCTATTGTCCTGATCTCTGGTCCTTCCTGTTGGTGTTTGTTACTCTTCTAGTAACATATTTTCAGCACTTGTATGAACTTGTTGTGTTGCAAGTGCCGTGAAAGTCTTTCTGAAACAAAACAAATAGCTGGTATTGTCTCCACTTGCTTCTTTTTACTCAACCTAAAAAAAAAGACCAACTCCAACAAAACAATTTTTTGACATGACCCACAGGGCGACATCGTGCCATTCCTGAGCCAGGTGTTCATGCCACTGGTGATGACCATCTATCGCGTTCTGGGCGCACCCTCCGACCACAACGACCGCGTCTCAGCCGAGGAGAAGAAACTGTTACAGCGAGGCTACTTTCTGTTTTTGGCAACAATTGTTAGCAACTGCTTGGATGTTCTCAAAGCTCAAGGTAAATCTATGATAGGTTTTTTAACGTGTTTAGCCTTTTGTTTTTCCTATATCATCAAATGAAATGGTATAGGTTTAACTCCTCTGTCAACAATATTAGGTTATTTAAGAGGCGGGACCTCCGAGTTTAGTGTCCATCTCCGAAAGGACCGAGCCTAATAGGAAATCCGTGTAAAGTGCCTTTCCCAAGAACACAACGTCGGACCGAGCTGAGGCTCGAACCCACGAACCCGCAATCTCTCGATTACGGGTCCGGTAGCCTAACCACTAGGCCACCGAACTATATCATCAGTGTCAATCTACAATCATTGAACTCAAATCCTGGGGTATCCAGATATGGCTGTTTTTCCAATAATGACACAAAGGTGCATCTAAGAACACTTTGTTGTGTCATTTAATTTCCTTCTTAGTTTTTAATGTTGTATAATCAGAAATGCGTCGGTCAGCATTCTGATTCAGGCGAGTGGCTTTTTAAAGAATTTTCTGAAAACTTTGAAAAAATCACCGGGACACTTTTTTGGAATGATGCTGATGATATAAAGCTTATGGAGTTGGCTGAGACAAAAAGAGAAGTACTGTTGTCATTGTTATGTCACATTCAGAGTGTTGGAATTGTGTAAAGGTTAAGTATAGCCCTTCGTTTTGAACTCTCTGGCTTAATGTGCAACATCAAGGGCCGCAGTGGATTGTCAGGTATGTCTTACAGAGGTATTGTCTATGATATTTCAGAAATGCAGAACCTAAACCAGGTGTTGATGTCCATCATCAGTGGAGCCGTGGAGCTGCCAGATCCCCAGGTCAGTGCTGGCTGTTGAGATCATCATGATCTGTCTTCATCATCATCATCATCATCTGTGTTCACCTTCATTATCGTCATAAAAGTATCAATACCGCTATAGTTATAGTTTTTTGAAAGTCTTTACACCTTTGAAAAGATTATAATTAAAGTAACTACTTAATTAGATTCCATCTGTAACTGTAAGATTGAATACCAATGTGGATATATTAATCAAACATTGAGTTTTTAGAGTATATATATTTTATTATTTTTTTTGCAGAGTCAAAAGTCGTGTTTCTCCATCTTGAAGAAGCTTATCGAAGTGTGGGGTAAGTTTCTCTTTTGTTTTTGCTGCACCCTGACTCACATCATTACATAGTGATGTTTGGAAATATTGGGAGTTGCTATGTCTGGATACAAAGTATGCAATAAGTTTTGTGTTACAGATTCGGTGTTTTTTCTCAGGGTGAAAGCTTGAGTTGCTTTTCTTTTCATGTTAGCCACACTGTGGTGCTTGTGAAGTTTATAGAATTTAAAAATATATAGTATTGAACAAATGATTAAATAGAGTAATGTGTATTTGCTTAGCTATTTCCATCCTGAAGATGTGCATCTTGAATAGTAGCTGCAGTGAGAAGTGTCAGTGACTCGAAATATATTTTACTCTTCCTTTTCCTTTTCCTGATTTTCCTCACAGAAATTGTGAAATGATAAATGTAAGTATTGGTTTGACTTATCTATGAGTTCAGCTTTGAAGAAAAGTTGTGTCAGAAGCACAAGCTGACAGTTGGTACTCCAATTCAGGTGCTGATAGGGTTAAGGATTTAGATGACCTGCAAATGACACAATTATAATACATGAATATGAAATGAAATTGTTCTGTCTGAAAAGTAAGACAATTATGATATGGTTTGGAGCTGATATTGCTTTCTGAAAAATAAGACAATTGTCATTTCATTCAGAACTACTAACATTAATTTTATTCCGTCCCTGACAGGAAAGGAAGGCTTGGATGGTTTCCCAGAGTTCATGTACAAGGAAATTGTTCCTGCCTGCTTCCTTGCACCGATGAAACCAACCTTTGACCTTTCTGATGGTCAGACTACCTTGGTAAGAGATCAAAACTCAGAGGGCCATGTTCTACTTCTTTAAGGCTTGTGGGAAACATGGTAAAGATGTTGCTCTCACCAGAAAAAATAGACCCCAGCAGAGGTCAAGATAGACCAAGAATAACGTAATTAAAGAACTTGAACAGATAGGTTGCAGGAAAAGACAAAGACAATGAAACAATATAGTTTTTTTGGAGAGCCGCATCTGAGCATAGAAGTGAATTATAAACCATGATTACCAAAGTCTGTTTCATATGTAGCATATAAAGAAGTCTGAAAGGTTGTTTAATGCAGACCTGCCACTCATCCCGATTTAGTCGGGATATCCCGATTTTTTGCCCCAAATCTCAAGCATCTTGATTTTCCCGATTTCGATCGCGTGTATCCTGATTTTTTGTCCTAGTCCGCTGTTGTGCCGGATTTTTCTAAAAACTTACTCTGCCTTCTCCTTTATCGCGGGAAGCACCCGTTGAACTTTTTGTCAGTAGGAACTCGAGCACTATTTCCCGAAATATCGATGCTGCATTTAGTAGTTGACTCGCCCCACGTTGTGTGTGATCTTTGCTTGCCCGCACTCAGAATTCTCTGATGATAGCCTGGTAACTGTTACTATTTAGGACGTACAAAAAATCGATAATATTCGTACTTCCACTGCTACTTTCAAAACAAGCCTTGTCCAAGGTCTGGTAACTGCGCATTCACACCAAACACTCAGACGAGCGAGTCTTTCTAACCCTTACACAACTACATGTAACTGCGCTGACAAGACTAACATACGGCCATTGTCGTTGCTTTAGTCTGAACGCATTATGAGGGATAATAGATTTGTTGATACAATTGGTCGGTCGGCCGCCGTTGTTATCCTTGAGTACTAAAAGTAGAACGACTGTCGCTCATCTGAGAGTTTTGTGTGAACGCGCAGTTAGTCGGACCCGTTAATAAAATTGTTTCAATCGCGCATTCGTGTCACGTGACATGATATCGCCGTGTGAGTTCTGCGTGTCGAGGACCGTCCGTTGACGGGGTCAACTTAAGTTCATGTATTTCGGGACTTAATGGTTGGGGTGGGGGCGGGGTATAGACACTTGGACTAGAAGTGCTTGACGTGATTCTTCAGGATTTACAAAAAATAATGATAACTCGCGCGCGCACACACACACACACGCACGCACGCAAACCCAGAGGGCATATAGGCCAAGTAATTTATGGACACCCCTGAAAAAATTTTAAGTCAGCTTTGGCAGTCACCTTTGTGATTTGCTGTTGATCCCGATTTTTTTCACCAAATCCCGATTTTTTCTCCCTGAGATCCTGATTTTGAGGTTTCATAGAGTGGCAGGTCTGTTAATGCGATGAGTAATTCACTGTTTAGTATATCTTCAAGCTTGTGGAATCAAACTGATGATAAATTTAGAGGACTTGTTCTATTGGTCCTCTCCACTATTCTCTTTTAATTTTTGTACACCTCAACAATGTAGTTGTTGCCTCATGTGTATACATTATTTTCATGGTCAGAGTAGATCTATGCCTTTGTATGTATTTGAGATATTGGAAAGTCATGCCATTTCTATGGAAATTTTGACATGAATTATATTTGTGAAAGTTGTCACTTTGGTCGCCTAATACCTCCGAACCACTTAACTTTTGATTTTGAAAAAATTAATGGTGTTTCAGAATCATTTATAGGGGGCACAGTTGTATTAAGGAGTCTAAAGTCACTGTAGTTTAATATTCAGTTTTTCATTAGTTTCGTTTAGATCTAATCTTGGGAAAGTCCGTTTTCTAAGACGCAGTTGTAAACAAATGAGGCTTCCGTTCACAAACAGTGCGCACTGTTCCACAATGACTTGATGATCAATTTTTTTAATTCTGTTCATCAAACAGGTACCCAGCTCGTTTATTATATTTACACCCGTTGATTCGTTCATGTATAAATATATGTTTCTGTTGTTCTGTCCTTGCAGGCCCTTGGTGAATGTGCCTCGTGTATGCAAGAAATCTTCAAGCAAAGGGTAAGTTTAAGTTCACAGTCTGTCTCTTTATGTGTACAGAGTCTCACAGTTTCTTTGCTGGTGGTTGGAGGGCGCATGTGAAAGGGTTTACTTTTGTACTAGATCTATCCCTCTTTTCATTTCTGTCTGTCTTTTTCCTTCCATTCACTAAATGAGCGTTATTGTTTCCGTGTGCTTATTTTTACTAAAACCAGCAAACAATCTCTCTAGTTAAAAAATTATGGAAATGAAGCGTCTGAAGTAGACTGCAATTGTTTCAAATTGGCTACTCTGTGGGTGTTGAGTTTAAATAAAATTACAGATGTGAAGTCCTTCCAGTAAGGATCGGCACATCGACCTTGGCAAAAGTCTTTTTTTATTTTTTTTTATTGACATGACCCATTTCTTCCTTTTACATGGTCAGAGCATAACACTATAACAAGGTAAAATTCTTCAATGTCTGTACCATACCTTTTCAATGTGTTCTCAGGGGCAAGAACTGCTTGTGTTTCTGAGAACTGATTTCTTCCCCTCCCGAGGAATCAGTCCTGATGATGCAGAGGTACGTATTTTTTCCTCATAAGTAAAAAACTTTTTGTTCGTTTTTTCTGTTTTGTTGGCCATTTGACTTCCTTCCTTTCCCCCCTTTTTTTTTTCAGTCTCTCATTTCTTTGAGATTTTTTAGTCTTGTTTTAATAAGAAAAACATGATTGTAATTTAAAAAATAGGAAAAGGGGAGAACAAAATTAGGCTAATTTGTTGTTGACTGGGTCCTAAAAGAAAAGAATATTTATCAGAGGTGCTATAGTTGTTTTGCTCTGTGTTTAAGTTTTTAATTAGAAGTTGTTTGTATGGTGTGGGTGTATTTTGATGGAACTGTTTGTTTATAAATGGCTACTGCAATTTAATGTTTCCACATGATAGCCCATCATTGTGGGTGGTGGTTGGCAGAGGGTCTGATGTGGTTTGCCCCTTCTTTCCTATCAAACATTTATCATCCTTACTTTTCCTTCTTTTTTTGTTTGTTACTTTCCCTTGTAACACCTCTAATCTTTGGCTTTTATATGACCTTATCGTGTTGCAAATGCCATGAAACTCTTACTAAAACTTAAGTTCAGCCAATCAGTATCTGATACATGCTTTGTCCTGTCTCATTTCCAGTATTACATAGCAAATATGCAGACAAACACAAAAGCTTTCCGGTCGTGGCTAAAGGTAAGAGACTGTTTTCTCAAGTGCAATTCAGTAAACATTTGTTTCGAAGGTGTGTTTTTTTTCTGATGGTGTGACTTTTCATGAACTGTTTAGAATTTTGGTTACACTTAGATCTAATGTTCCTTCTTTGTTGCTATTTCTTGTAATCTTCATTGTCATCATGTATTTAATACCATTTTATTTTGCTTTTGTGTGATCTTGAAATTCTAGTTTCACAACTTTTGAAAATATTACCCTTTCATGTACGAAGGTGAGTTTTTACTCAAAGGCAGTCTGTGGCAAATTAATTTCTCTTTGTTAAATGTTCTTGAACAAAACTTACGAAAATGAAGCATTTGAAGTAGATGGTTATTTCGAAATAATTTCTCTTTGGTTGCAAAAGTTATTTTATGGAATATAGTTTTATGGCTTTTGCATCTTGACAGACAGTCTTAAAGTAGCACACATAGAGCAATCTTTGCATGGGCGGTCGGTAGACATAGAGGAGGTAGAAAGTTTATGTTGTAAATTTCTGCATACTATTTAATACATAATTTGACTTTGTAGTTTAGTTTGTACAGTTGTCAAAAAAGTTATCAGTGACAGCTATTTTACAAACCTGGAAAAAAACAAACCAACCCTATGTTGAGTCTACAATGTTTTCACCCCTGACATTTTCATGTCCATCCTCAGAATTTCTTTGTCCGTGCCAAGTCATGACCCACATGAAGAGTAGCTACACTGATGTCTCAAGCCATGTCGCTGTGACAGATCACGAGCATTAGATCATACCCATCATTGTTACTTCCATTGTGATTAGCATCTTCATCATCCACATCATCATTCTCATTTGTTTAACATTTTTGCATTTTATCCACGTCACATTGCTGATGCAGACAACTCTTCTGTCAGCCCAAGCTTAGATAAATCAGGGCCACTTGTAAAACTCAAGGTGATGAAATGATAAATTATTGCAATAATTCTTCCTTATTGTCTTTTACTCTGTATATTGTTGGGCATTATATTGTTTGATATTTGTACACTTTTAAGAACAGGGTTCCCACTCTACCGGGAAAATGGGGGGGAAGCCGAAAATTGCATTTTCAGATTTCCTGGTTGGGAAAGTACCATGAAAATGAATGAAAGCGAAAATATTTGCTGTTCAGCTCTCCCAACTCATCCCCACATTCCCGGCGTATAAATCAGGAAAAGTCAGGTACGGACAGTCCGCGTCACTACATCACGTGCAGCTAACTTGAACACCCTCTGTGCACCAAGCCGTTGTAGTGGCTGAGTACTTTGCCCTTAGAAAAACATTTGCTGGGAGAAAGACCAACGTTAGTTTGTGACAAGGTGTTAAAACATTCTTTCGCCTATACATTGAGGGTGATGGCTTTGCAAATGAGAGTAACCCCCCCCCTCTGATTTTGGGGAGTGATGTACACTTAATAATTAAGATCAAAGGCTTGTAACGCGCCCTGTCGGTTTCTTTTGTATTTGTAAGAGTTGAGCCAACAAAGTAAACCCAACCCCCACCCCCCGTTTGTTTACGTTACACTTATCCTATAACTCCTGTCCTTGACACTGACACCCCAGGGAAAGAGACTGTTCGTGGCCATGTTACGATTTTTAACCTTGCATTTCTACTTCCTAGCTCTGTCATCCTTAAAAGTATAAGAAAAATCTCTTTGATAATGATTACAAAATCCAGGAGGAATCTGGAAAAACCCAGGGAAATTCTCCCCCTCCCCGATGAGTGGGAACCTTGAAAGAAGTATTTCGTCAGTTTCAGTTCCATCAGAACATCCGCCTTTGTTTCATTAGCTCATTGAGGACGTGCATTTTGGTCAACCGGCAATGCGGACATATAGAAAAGAAGCATAACTTTGTTATTCACACAGATTTTTCTATTGTTTTCTTCATGTGAAACTTAAAAGGCAGGCAACAGAATGCATACTATATAATATGCAAGTTTCGTGTTTTGAGGGATTTGTGTATGATGGTCCTCAAAACATTACCTCTGGTCTGCTGATGATTGGACATGTGTGTCCGCTGTGTTCTCAGAGTTCAATAATTTATACATTTGTACTAAAAAGTAAACAAGCATTTGTCATTATTCTTGTGGAAGTACATTAGTCTATGTGCACTAACATTCAGGGTAAAGGGCTGTGTTGGTGGTGGTGGTTGTTGCCAGCAGAAGAATGATCGTGAAGGTTCGTTGAGTACAGGATTGCTGTGACATTACGTTACCTCAAAATTACAAAGTTTTATTTCACATTTTGGCTGTTTGGAGTTACTTTACTAAGACTTTGAGGTCAGAAACCAAATTTTCTATCTACTCATTCAAAATCGTAAGATTATTCGGAGTTGTTTTCAAGATATTCAAAGAATTACATTAGAAAATGCTTGACATGTTGTGAAACTCAAAAGATTTTTACGCCAAATTTCTCAAACCTAGGTATTGAGCAGACAGAATTTTGTAATTTTGAGGTAGTGACTAGTCTTTGATGCTATCTGGTGCTACAGTGTGTTAGTTGAGGAGAACATTGAGGTCGAATACATGTACATGGTCAGGGTTCGACGCTCATGATGGACTTTGTTAGAGTGGCAAAGCCCGTAGGTTTTTCTGAGTCCCAGCGTTGGGAGACACACGTGATGCTTTTGCTTTGTTTTCTTTGTCTTAAGCTGTTGCTTAACTCTCTTGTCTTTCATCCGAGGCCATAACGTAGAGTCAAACAAACGTTTTTGAGCTTTAGCCATGCCTCTGCTTTACATACCAGTGCAAGATTTTCATTCCCACGTTACAGTGGGTCTGATGTGTGAAGACATAAGAATGTATGTGTATTCACATCCACACTTAACACTATGACTGATATAATGTGAAGACAGAAGAGTGTAAATGTGTATCTAGATCTAGAAATGTGGCTGATTTGTGAAGAATGCTGTATATATCATGTCTGTCTACATGCAGTGATGTAGCTGTTGTGAAGACAGTGACTAGTGCGTGTGCACCCCCACATTACAGTGTGAAGAGAAGAGTGTTGTACATGTGTAAATATTGGCAGCTTCCCAACTGGGAGGTGATAGTATGAATGTTGTAAGTTAAGGAATGTTTGTAATTTTAAAAATAACGGTGATGAGTTGTGACATGTGATTGCATAATGAGTTAGATGAGTGATTTGGTTTGACAAAATTTCATTTTGTCTTTCTGATGAGTGCTGCTAGTTGTGAACGGATAAGAGATTTTGTATGGAAGCAGTGGAAGCTGTGTGTTTGTGAATCGAGGAGACCTGCATATTTTTCTATCATTTTGTCTTCCAGCTACGTTAAAAAAAATTCCAAAATATGTTATTTTGCTTTTAATTTTTAACTTTGATTTTGCCATTTTAATTTTTTTCTCGAGTTTAAAAAGTTCAGATCGTCATAATCTGCTGCTTTGAAACCAAGGGCATGGTTTTCTCTTTTTTTTTGTTTTGTTTGTGGTTCTCATTTTGCAAGAGTTCACAAAAATTTGAAGTAAATTGCAAGTGCATGTTGGAAAATCTGGGCTTGTCAATTGTCGAGATGTATCCAGTTTTCAGGACATTTTTTAAGGCAGATAAAGACCTATCCAGTAGACATGTTTCGAATAAATTTGGAATAATATTATGAATAAATATGACAAGATGGTATGAATGGTGCTGACTTGTAAATGTAATGTAAGTGTATGTCTGTTGGTTGAAAGTCTTTTGACAGTTTTTGCATTGTGGCTTCAGAACTGAATGAGACCTTGTGCATGAAGATAATTTTTGTTTGTGTCTGATAGGTACGCTTGTTTTGTTTTGCATTACCGAGTGTTCTAGTTTTTCTTGACAACATGCAAGCTTGTTTAGAATAATAATGTTCTGATTTCTATTGTGAAAATTATGTGCTGTTGATCTAACTTTTGCCAAGAGCTCAACATTTCGCATAATCAGAGAATGTATGGTTGTTGTTAAAGGCGAGATTTTGTATGCAAGCACATTTAGAAAAGAGGTTCAGAGTTCATCTTGAATGTCTGTCAAAAAGTGAAAGTAGTTGTTATACGAATTAGTTTTTATGATGAAGATAAGTACCGCACACAATTTAATACTAATGCCATGCGTCGTGAAAATTGGATACGCTACTCTAGAATTTGAGCGTCATTCTCTTTTGTGACATTCAGAAAGGAAGTTACATTATCTTCCATCTATTTTCTGAGCAATGTCAAGCACTTTTGTATTTTTTTTTTCTGTCTTCTATTTTAGGTTGTGTATTTTTGTGCAGCTGTCTACTTTATAAACCATTCAGTAAAAAATGCAATACTCACTGTCCCTAGTCAAAACCAAAGTTTTTTGAAAAGTCATGTCCTTTTTCTGTTCTTGTTGAGTCATAATGAGGCTTTAGGTAACGGGAGTGCACTGGGGTGGTCTATATACCCTATTTCGAAACAGAATTATGATGGCTTTTCCCATTTAATTATTTAATTTAAAAAACTTTAATTTTTGTAGATGAATTTTGCTGTTTTAAGAATTTTGGAATACATTGCTGAATTAGGACCTCCTGTGCTATAGCTTAGGGCATTTCTATTTTGTGCGTCTTGGATTTTTATTCTTGGACTCATGTTATGTGTGATTGGCTTTTCATATTTGTGAATTTTTTGAGTTTTTTTCCTGCAAAACGAATCATAGTAAGTTTTCTGTTTGAAGTTTGTGTGTTGCATTGGCCAACAGGGAAATAGCCTGTTAAACTAAAGGCTGTTGGAATCCCTCTCTGATAGTTCAATCTTGTGAATATGTGTAAGAACAGATCTTTGTCAGATTATCTGTGAAAAATTCAAAAAAAGGGTTTATTGACCTTAATCTTTTCACAACTAGTTTTCGACACAGTTTAATAGTTTCAAGGGACGACACCCCGCCCCCCAGATTAAATATGATACCTATCATTAATTGTGTTGGCGTTTCCAGTTCTGTGGTATTCATAAATAGGGGCCAGCAATTGTAGAGGAGAAAAGTGGTAGTCTTATCAGTCTTAAGCCAGTGAATGTCTTGGGCAGTGTCACATTTTAAAAAATGCATGGATGAAAATGGAAAGTGGTCATTTGTATAGGTGATTGTCTTTGACAGGTTAGAACAGGTTGGACAGTTGTTGGACTGTAGTATACTGTATTATTAACAGTATCAATAAGGGAGGGAATCAGTGGATCAGCTGGGCCATGGTTACTTTCTGTTTAGACATGAAACGGGGGTTTGTTGTGATATTGATTCAGGGCCAGTAGATCTTGTGTCTGTCTTGTCTTGCACTTGTTGCATGTTCATAAAAGTGATTCTTGTAGCCCCATCATGTTGAATGGTGGTTTGCATGTTGTCAAATGCAGGAATTAATATCTCTGAGCCGATGTGAAGAATGAAATTGCCTGAGGCTTTACTATTGTTTCCTGAACAGACCTCATTTCTGTTATGAACTTTGCTGTGAGGTTTCCTTTGCAATGCATAAATGAAAATATTTGAAAATAAAAATCTTTGAAATTTTAATGCTTTGTAATTTGCTTATTTCGTTTTTAAAGTGTCTGGTTATTTGTATCGTACAAATGTTTTTCCTCATTTTGTATTCTTAGTACTAATAGGTTTGTTTCATGTACTGTGCTAAAAAAGTCGCATGTTTGACTTGGCTAAGCACTTTCTCAGAACAAAAAATAACATTGACAATAGTGTTTTGACGGACAATTTTATTTTTTTAAATACAGATATTTTCACGCCACCATCTACTCAGTTTAATTCATTAAAGGAGGAGGGCTTGGACCATCTCTGTCAGGGTCAGCCTGAGTTGAGAGTGATAACAATATATCGTACAATACATGCACAACACCCCAGCGGATAGACAGATACTTGATTAAAATTCCCCCCCATTCAAGTCTCTTGCGTGCGACGCCGAAGCACCTTTACCAAAACGCTACACCACAGAAACTGGTTGTGATGATATGTAT